GAATACTCTTCAATCTCACCCTCTATACAACCTGATTCTGTTGAAGAGCCTACTTCACCCTCGTTGTCAGTACCGGAGATCCGGATGAAAGGTTCTTCTTGGTATGAACCTGAACCAGATCGTGAGTTTTCCCAGTCCCTCACGACACCCCAGACAACCAAACCTAGGTTTTCAGGTATCGTTGTTACGGACCTGGACTCGTCGGACGATGAATACGAAAATGAACGGGAGCCTGTTAGTCCGCTAGTGTCGCCGACTTTACTCGAACGGATTCGTCAACGAGAGTTGTCGAATGTTCTTCCATTACCATCTTCATTAGACCGGCATGCGCTCGTTTTATATCGTCCACTAACTAGGCCTTCAAACAATCTTGAGCCTGAGGACACCGAACTAGTATCTAATCAGGACGCAGTCCCTGACGCAGTTTCGTTGCCTTCAACAGCACAAGATGTGGAAATGATGGATGTTGAATGACGTGAAGTGCTGGAAATTAGACTAAAATATGTAACCCGTTGCACACATTTGCTATTACACTTTCAAAGATTTTACACCTATACATCTATAATACACGAATGAACCAAAAAAACAATAATCATAACTCCTGAAATGTAACAATAAGCCCGTAGAGGAAAAAGTACGCAGCGCCTGAAACGTCGTTGAGGAAAGGCAAAGAGCGAAAAAAAACAGGGAAAGAAAAGATCAAGCGAAATAACGAACCAATTGGGCATTAACGAGGAACAGGCCCTGCACCATACTGTACGACATCATCAGGACGTCTTGATGGCTCTCCTGGATAAAGACCCTCGGCAAAATTGTACTGTGAATGATGATGTCGGGCATGAGCATGGGGATGCGGGACATGATGCTTTAGCAATGAGATATAATTCCAGAAAGGAAGGTGAGATCAGCAGTTCATGGAAAGAAAACATCAAAGAAACAAGTAGATATAATTTAATATGTTGAAAAGGGTACAAGCAGAACGGGATGGGCGAAAGTCGAGTGAAATTGTAATGAGGGAAAGTCGAAAGAGAATGGCGAAGACCGATAACAGAAAACAACCGCGAATTCGAAGGGGAAAAGAATCATGTGAATTTGGAGAGGAAAGCGTGCGTGGAATACAAAACAAAGATCAAGCGAAAATGATAAGGAAAAAAGGAAGGGAAATAAAGACAGGAGGGGTAGGGTGTGACATTTGGTGAGAATATGAATGGGACAGGGAAGAACGGAGATAAGAGGAGGAAGACCGACGACAGAGTGATATGAAGAAAGGAGATGATCATTGGCGGGTCAGAGCACGGTCCAAAATTTCATACATATCATGCACTCACCATACGGTATGGATACGGGGAAGTGAGTGTGACCGGAGCAGAGCTCGTCATTCCGTTCACGTTAGGCTGAGGAAGCGAATGTTGGTGTCCATTCCGCACCTGCGGATGCTGAGACTGCTGCTGTTGCTGAATATACATGGCCTGAGGAGAAACAGCGATGGGAACAGACGAAGGCAAAGATACATTGATGTTGTGTTGCATTTGATGGATGGGTGTGGAAGAATGGGAAAGATTTAGTATGCTGATAGGATCTGGAGGACTTTCCTCGTGGGAATGAATACGCTGGGACTGTAGTTCAGATGGAGATCGTTGCAGTACAGGCTCTATGGGAGGGGAATGGTCGTCTTCAGCCATGTCCTCGTCGTTGTCGTGAGCATTCGTATTCAACGTTGGTCCAGCCTCTCCTTCTTGGCCGGACCGTTGAGCGGCAATCTCTTCGGCGGTCAAAAAGCGACCTCCTGGTCCTCTGGGTCGTCTCATAGCATGTTTGTGTCGAGATTCATGCAAATACGGCTGATAGCAAGGGCAAGATGAGGTAAATATTACCTGGGAAAATGTCCAGTGCATACCTTGCGTTGTCGCGACAAGCGATGGACTTCCTCAAGACGCGCTCTGGCTACACGCCGTTTAAGGATACGGAAATATTGCTTCGCATTGACATACAGAGGCTCTTCGTCGGCCTGAGATGACGTGGCAGGCTCTGGAGGGCTGATAAAGGACTGTGGTTCGAAGTTGGTAGTGTTGTAGTAGCCTTCATCGAGGTGATAAGCGGGCGTAAATAAGTGATCTACTTGGTCCATCGCAGCCAATGAGGAATCGAGACAGCCGTCCGTTTCAAAGCCAGCAGAAGGGGCGGGTCAGAAATGCCGGCCGAAATATCACGTGTATCTTCTTGCGTTTTCCCTCTAAACGCGTCTTGTATCTTACTTTATCGCGCCATGGAGGCCAAACTCAAATCTCTCAAGGTCGTTGATCTAAAGCAAATTCTTACAAGAGCGAGTGCCGTACCAGCAGGCAAGGCTAACAAAGCCGACCTTATAGCCAAAATTATCGCAACACCCGCTGCTGTCGACGCCTTCAATGCTCTTCATCCTTCTAAACCTGCCCCACCTTCCCATGATGATCTAGTACGTCGTATATCGTGGTGCATATACACATAATCTCATTGGTCTCCTTAGCTTGCCCCCCCAGAAGAGTACGAATTGCCCTTGTTCAATGCAGCGCATTCTCCTGATTTTCCACTGGAAATTAGTCTTGACTGGACAGTAGACGAAGTTCCACCCTCGAAGTTGGATGAAGCTGCTTCCGAGCCTGCAACAGAAACTCCTGCCCCTTTAGCTGCCGAGCTTGTGTGTCTTTCTCTAGTAAATTTTGTTCCACTCCCTGCGACTTATGTCTATCCTCAGGCAACGGCCCCAATATCTGCACAAGACACTGCACCAGAACCTCAGATCGCTAATACAGCAGAGTCTATATCTCACCCTGCGGACGCTGAATTGGAGAAGCGTAAACAACGTGCTGCTAGATTCGGTATTCCACTAGTAGAAACCAAAACCAGACAAAGGCTTGCCACCGCAATTAAAACCAACGTTACTACCACTCAACCAAGTGATGTATGTGTTTAGAAAGCGGCACAATCCTGATTTAATGGCTTAATCTCCTTTCACTTGCCAGGATGCTCAAAAAATCAACGCGCGCGCAGAGAGATTTGGGCTGAAAATTGCAGCGAATGGAAAGACGGGACCAAGCAAAGACAATCAAACTTCACCGGGCTCGAAACGGAAAAGAGGTGCTATTGCGCCTCCGCCTGAGGTCGAAGTGGATCTCGAGGAGGTAGAGAGACGACGAAAGAGAGCTGAGCGGTTTGGACTGAAGCCTTGAAGCCAATCGTAGTAAGTTGAATATAACTGCGTCTTTTTGATGACATCCACTCACATAACTTCCACACAGGTTTGTTTCCTGTACGAACATTCATAATTATGGGCTACTGTATCAACTCGACTACATATGTCGTTACTCGTTACTCCTTTGTCATCGTATATCGTGTCTCTGCATCTGTGGAGGTGGGAATATTCACACGGAAGCTTTTGTCCTTCTCCACATTCAGGAATGGCTCGGAGAAGGAAGAACAACCTCTGCTTGCTCGAAGCGCTGGTCGTGTCAAATCCAAATAAGTACTGACAATCCACGGAATGTCAATCATGGCGTTCTTTTCTCCATAGTCGCCGATTATTGCCGTTTTCAAAATAGTTGGCGCCTGTTCTCACGACGTCAAATTTTTGCATGAATCAATCCCCACCTCAGAAACACGATTGTGGACTCAAAACTTCACCGAATTCTTTGATTTTCAGTGTGATACAGAGCGATAAGCAGCTGTTAGTGTGCCCCATAGATAGTTTTGTATAATCACAATATTTTGAACACATGGATATTGGAGGTTCTACCACCTCCGAAACACTATAACTCAAGGAACAAAATTTGTGAGATCTATTCCTTGCAGTATTTCAAGCTAATAGGCTGCCTTGAGTGCGCCCCATGCCTAAAATCTTGATCAGGGCCCAGGTATGGTAATGAGATTGTATGAATCAAGGCTCAGAAGTGTACATGCACTCAAACTCAATGTGTCAAGTCTTTGGGCACAAATTTCTCCTGGGGCGCACTAGATACTATCTAAACGAACTACATGCTATAAGGATTAAGCCTTACAAATCTCGTTCCTTGAGTTATAGTGTTTCGGAGGTGGTAGAACCTCCAATATCCATGTGTTCAAAATATTGTGATTATACAAAACTATCTATGGGGCGCACTAACAGCTGCTTATCGCTCTGTATCACACTGAAAATCAAAGAATTCGGTGAAGTTTTGAGTCCACAATCGTGTTTCTGAGGTGGGGATTGATTCATGCAAAAATTTGACGTCGTGAGAACAGGCGCCAACTATTTTGAAAACGGCAATAATACGAATGCTTCTGCCAAGTCCTCCGAAACGGGAAATAATCGATAATTTCCATGCTATCGTCGGAAGAGGCTCGAATGACAACTTTTGGGTTTTTGACCTTCTCTCCATTCTCCCCTCTTTCTTCAGTTTATCTTTCCTCCGCCTCCGCCCCCTACATAGTAAACAGACACCGTGTCAAGTCCACTTGATGCTTGTGTTTTTAAGCACCATTTATCAGCTTTTCAAATCAAAGATTCGGAGGTTCTGTGTTTCCTTGAATGATAAACTGACTCTGATGTTGATTCGGTTTACGATTCCACTTCACTTTTCCTTCACCTCCTGTGATTCCTTTGCACGCTTTTCTTGACTTTTTTTCCTAGATAGATCGACGCGCTGTCTATAAACGTCGATATGAATCGTGGGGTATATCAACGCGGGCATCGTGAAGAGAAGCTCTCACGACGATACATACTGATGACCGCAATGTGTTGAATACCCCACCAGAACTTCCATCGATCATTGCTAGGCGCCCTTCAAAGTTCGATTTCATTTATTGCGGACATTTCTTTGATTTATCTCTGTGTGCTGTCATTAGTGTCATTAGGAATTAGGTGAGGGGTAATGCTCTGTATCAATCAGATTTAGAAGAAAGAGTCAAGGAACTTGAAGGAAGGCAAGTCAAGAGAACCCATACCAGGAATATTGAGAACATATTCAATGAGAGCGCTTGTATGTGGTTTGATGGCGTAGTTGGTTATCGCATCTGTCTAACACCGTCCAGCAAGGTTGCGATGTTCACAGAAGGTCCCCGGTTCGAGCCCGGGTCAAATCATGCAGCACTTCTTGTATTTTTTCTTGAAATCATCTGCATTTCACTCAACTTAGATGGCAAGCTATTTCGAGGTAGGTACGCGGCGACTGTGAGCCGTAAGTCAATCACAGAAGAATTGAGGTGGTCAATGTTGAGTATAAAAGTATCTAAATGCAAATGGTATACCAAACGAAGGATTGATTTCTAGCCAGACCATCCAAGTCTTATATTTCCTGCATACAGCCTCCATCCTCCTCCTCCATCATATCTCATATCCAACATGAACACGTTCGGTCGCACGATAACTGCGAGGCTCTGAGATAACGTGGTCAATGGGAAGCCGCGCTATGTAGAGGAGGGGGTGGTCTTGATGCACATGTCGACTGCGCGCGATGCGATCGGAAGAATATCTTGAGACGGATGATCCAAAGAACCTAATGACGCTTCATTCTCCACGTCGATGCATTGTGTGGTACGGTCCCGCGAGGGGCGTTGAATTGCCCCGGAATCCCACAGTCGCAAGTCCTTGGACCACAGATGAGAATAAATATGAACGTGGATAAACTCCAACCAATTTAGAGCATTCCATGAGAATAGTTTATCGTGTGGACGCATTCTTCCGGTCTGGGTCTCTGACACACTTTGTTGCCCAACCACAGGCTTGAGAAGTCGTGGAGCACATGTACAGGTATTCTTTCCCCATCATCCTCCTGGGTAATGAGTGACCGTCCATCGTTTCGAAATCCCGGTGAATCCACGCACAGTTACATTGAGCTGTGTCAAGAACAATAGCTCGAAGTAGCTAACTAGCTACATATCTGGAGGTTTTGCGAAGGAGTGAAGGAGATTGTGAGCGCGAGGACCGGGAAGTGTGCATGGAGGGGAAGGAAGTACGAGGAGCATGCATTCAGTGTTATCTGGTGGCCGTAGAGGTCATTCTTGAAGCTTGAAAGCCTGACCAGCGCTCACAAAATATCATCGGATGGAAGTTACTCAACTTTGACTTTGATGCGTGAAGTTGAGGCTTCTGAGAATCGATCCGAGGGAGAAAGGATCGGGGGAAACAAGATCGTATCTGGGGAGAAACTAGTCGAGTCTATGCGTAATTATCGATAGGAATGGTCGAACTCACCATAATTTTAAACTTGCCCTTGCGCGGCGGCGCGAATAACAGTCGAGTAATCACAAATCCGGTGTCTCTCACCTTCCCTTCGCTCTGTATATGAATGCCTACACTGACCACAACAGAGACTAGAAATGTAGAGCTGACCTTACTCTCAAAAGCGGCATTTGTAACACAGAACAGCTAAACTTGAAGCGTGACAAAAAATAGTTCTTTTTGATGAGCAATGTTGAAAACTTTGATTTTGGAACTTTGCATGCGGCACTCCCACGCCTTCAAGTTGTTATCTCATCTCATCTCCTCGACGATGGTTCAAGATGTTGCTTTCCTCGAGCCTCCACGC